AAGTTTTAGATATCATTATGTAAAAGAGGTATGATTGTTTGATGTAGAGTGTTTACTGCTCGTTTGGCACAATTGTCAGCAACTTTATAAAAATTACCTATCATCATCACCTTCATTTTATTAACATATTTAATATCTCGTTTTTATTTTAATTGCAACATCAAGTTTCATTAACATCTTCCAACTGCATCATCATTTCAATGAAGGTCAATATGAACGTTCTATGTGCCATAATTTTGCTAAATATCAACCTAAGTTTAGGTTGACGTTATTAATGCTAATTTTTGTTGTTGTTGTTTATACAGTTGGAATTGTTATAATCAAAAATTTTAAAGTTGGTTTTTAAAATGGATGTTTATATCCTCCAATGATGTGGATGTGTTTTTGTTAAAGTTTTTGTTGTTGTTACTCTATTGTTATTCTGGTGTTATTGTTATTCATTGTTTGTTAATTCATTCTATTTGCCAAGTTTCAAACGTCAACTTAAGATTACTTAATGTGATAGAATCACACTGAAGCGAATGATTAAATAAATTATCAAATTAAGATTCTCCTCAAATAAAAAAATTTTATCAAAATTTGAACAACTAAAAGTCATATATTAAAAAAAAATAATTAAAAAAAAAAATCATCTTTTTCAAAAATAATTGGGAGATAGAAAAAGTTAAAAGAGGCATGAAAACATCTGAACAACCATTGACGAAAAAAACAAAAACAATCGAACAAGCAGCAGGTAGGCAGACAGACAAACAGACAGATAGACAGATAGAGAGGCAAGCAGGCAAGCACATTGTGTGCACTGCACACTGCACATGGAAGCAGCAAAAGCACACGAGACGAGTCTCTTTGATCTCGCAAGAAGCACTAATGATGATAAAACGCAGGAAGGAGAAGAAAATTGAACACGGTAAGACGATCAAAATGTACTTTTACATCTTGCTTTCTTTCAATGTCTCTGTGTCAATGTTTGTTTATTTTTCGTGTTTAACTTCTTGTTTACATGTCGTCTATTCTGAAAATATTGCAATTTTGTTTCAGTTTTGGAGAATTTGATTTGATAAAACTGTGTGCACGTATATTCGCTTTTGTTTTGATACACTATAACGTTTGAGCTATTTATATTCATCCAGTTGAAATTTTCTAGCTAGTATGTTATTCAATGGAAGAAAATTGTTTCAAAATTTTACTGAACCGTTTTAATTGTGTATGTTGGCTTTACGTATGATGTATGTTTGTATGTAGGCATGTAGGTTAAATGCCTACATATAATGTAGACACGTATGTTTGTGCTAATATGTTGATGACTCTGACTGTTGTATGTACCTTTATATGTGCATACTGTAGTCTGTATGTTTGTTTGGGTGTACATATTACTGTGCGTTTAAAACTTACATAAATTAAATTACAAAAACTAGCATCCATTCAATTTAAACAGCTGTTACAACATAAACTTTCAATATTGTCTAATAATTCGTAAACTTTACAACCACGAAAAATCGTAATTTTTTTCAACATCTGCTCTAGCAAAAACATCATCAGAATTAAACGAACACTTTAAACAACAACAACAAAACGTGATGAAGACATGAGATGCCTTTTGCTCATTCGTTCAGTTAGGTGAACTTCAATCGTGAAGAAACAATTTGAATTAGCAGAATACTTCTTGCGGCGTTCACCAATGTTTTAACATTTAAAACTGTGCCGATTAAAAAACAAAACCTTATTCCACAAAACATTTCAAACATTCAAAAATTTATTTAAGATGGAAACTCTCACAGTTAATTTCCTACAAGTAATTTTGACATTCCATGCCAATTCATTTTTTTTCCATTTCTGATGTGTCAAATTGATCAGTAATGATTTGATGAATATTAATAAAATGGCGATAATAATCACATAATAATAATAATAATTAATAATAATTATAATAATAATTATTATTATTATTATTATAGGACTGACGAAAATAACGCTGATGACGATTACAGCAACATAGTCTTTAGAAATAGAAGTAATAGTGATAGTGGTGGTGTAGCAGTGAGGATTAGGAAAAATAAAAATGGATTAAACCGAACTTAAAATTTAAGAAGACATATAATTAGAGGGTGCTGGTGTTAAAATGACGATGACGACTGTGATGACGATGATGACGATGACGACAAGAACATGATGAAAAGAATAGAAAAGACAAAAAAAAGGCGGAGGAGTGTAATATGTGACTGTGATCTGGTCAAAGAGAGTGACAATGATGAAACGATGATGTGGTAGTAATGGTGATATAAGCGGAGGTAAAAACAACCATTACGGTGTCAATCACTAGCAAAGACTCAAATTCTAAAAAAAAAAAAAAAAAAAACTTGCGCGCGCCCGCACGAGCACAGGTGTACGACGATTGAATGAGATATTCAAACACAAACCAATTATCGACATTTCAAACGTGAAGTCTGCCAGCCAGCATCATCCGGCCCCAGCGATCACTCAGCGATTGCAACAGTTTAATTACAAGGATGCTCCGACACGAATTCAATTCATCCATCATTATCAATGTACGCACGCTCACAACTTGTGCATCGTCGTCATCATCATTCTTGTTATCACTACCATCGTTCTCATCATCATCATTCTCTTCTTCTTCTCCTTCGTAATCACTCTCATAATTGTCATCATCACATCCATTATTTTTATATCGTCTTTGCAATTCCAAAAAAGTGACTAATTAGTTTCAGGACAACTTTTGACAAAACTTTTCAAAACATCAAAACATTAGGATAATAACATCTGCAGTTGATGTTTTTAAAAACAGAAAAAAATGAAATGAGATGATAGTTGTTAAAGATAACTTTCAACATAATTTTCTTCAACTGTAAAACCCACAGCTGTTAAATTAAAGTTCAATCAGAGATCAATTTGTCAAGTAGCCAACCGACCAAACTACAGTTCACTAAAACACGCTCTTAATAAGATAACTAAAAGACAGCAATTGTAACAAACACATTAACATAAAAGATACACCAACAACAACATTGGTAACAGCAACATTGATAACAACGACATTGATAGCAGCAAAACAGCAAGACTTCACAACAAACTCAGCGGCATCAAATTTCAAAAACTAGATTGAAAAAGAAAAAGAAAAAATATCTTGATGACTTATGATCAATTAAGACAATGTTGGTTGTCTTGGTAACTTAGCGATGACATCTGATGTTATGTCAGCCATCTTAAGGGGTAGTTGTATGTCTTGCAGGAAATTTTTGAACATCACGTAGCAAACATAACTCACCTCGCCATCAGATTCATCTCATTTCATATCCTCAAGTTATCACCATCATCTTCTTCTTCATTATATTTTTTCATCCATTTCATTATCATCATTCTCAAATCATCATTATCGTCATCGTCGTCATCATTATTATCTACGCGCGTGTTTATGTGTTTGCGCGTGTTCATTTTCATAATCATCATTAACATAATCATCATTAACATAATCATCATTAACATAATCATCATTGACATAATCATCATTGACATAATCGTCATTAACATAATCGTTATTAATAACTTCATTTTAAAAATTATCATCATTATAAATCAATCATTGTTACCGGCAACACCAGCATCATCTTCACAACTACAATTACAACATCGTCCTCATTGTCGTCGTAAAAAACAATTACATCAACGCTATCATCATCATTAACATCATCATCACCACCACCACCGTCATTATCATTATCATTAACAACATCATCATCATCATCATCATCATTCACCGTCATCGTCATCATCATTATCATTAACAAGATCATCATCATCGTCGTCCTTATTAACATCATCATCATTCTTATCATCAGTTTCATCATCATCCTCACTATCATCATCAGTGACGTCACCCAAAATAATCATTATCCGCAGAAGCATTTTGTCATCATCAACAACAATAACATTGTCATCATCATTATCGAAAGAAACGTCATCATCATTACCAAGAGGACCATCATCATTACCATCATCACAACAAAAACAGCCTTCATCGTTATGTTGTTAATTTAAATTTGACGTAAAACATAGACACGATTGTCGTTGTCGTGTCGGTGTTTTTGCAGTGTAGTTGTTGCGCGGCTGTGGTTTTGTAGTTGATGAATTTGTGCAGTAGTAGCTGTTGTAGTTGTTGAATTTGTGTAGTTGTATGGCTGTTGTTATGTGGTTTTGTGTTGAATTTGTGTAATAGTAGTTGTTGTGGTTGTTGTTGATGATGTTGTGGTTGTTGTCGCTGTTGTTGTTTTGTTGATGTTGCTGCTGTTAATGTTGTTTTGTTGTTGTTAGCGTTTTGTCAATGGCAAACGATATAATTGAATAAATTATGTTTGGTTTTCAAAATGCATTTATATTATACCGCAGATACCCTAATTTAATTGCTCAGATTCGTAAAAATTAATTAACACGAAGCTTTTGCCATGAATGAATTTTATATTATTTGTAATATTTACTTGTGCTTGCGATAATTATCAATTTTAAAAGTACTACTTTTGGCTTTTAGAAACTGATTTGATTAGAAATTTTTATGTAAAACTAATGTATTTATTTAATAAGTTTATTTGTTAATAAGTCTGATTTTAAATAGCAAAATATGCAACGAAACATCCTCACAGCCTGAATCAACAAAAAAAATTTGTTTTTACAACAACAACAACAACAACAAAATCATCAATATATCAACAACAACAACATTCCAACAACATGCCTACAACAACAACATATCAACAACAACAACATATCAGCACCAGCATATCAAAAACAAAAACAACAACAAAATCATCATCATCATCATCAACAACAACATATCAACAACAACAATATATCAACAGCAGCATATCAAAAACAACAACAACAACATCATCAACAACTACAACATCAACAACAACGTCAACAACAGCACCAACAACAACGACATCAACAACAACATGCCAACAACACACCAGCAACAACTAGAAACGAACCTTCCTGCCGAGAATCTGGTTGATGGCTGCAGACTCCTTCAGCGTGCATTCCTCAATGACCTTCTGCCTCATCTCCTTCATGAAGAGCATGAAAGCGTTCAGTGGCTTCTTTATGTACGTTCGTTTCTTATCCATGCTCATCAACTTTCCCCCGCTGCTGCCGCTGTGGTGGTGGTGGTGGGAGCTGCCGTTCATAGAAGATGTGGTCATCATGCTGTGGTGGGCTTGGTGGTGTGGGTGGTGCGGGTGGAAACCGTTCAGCCGATGTCTGCAAAGACGTTCAAGTTGAGAGTTACGTCATGTTTCGTGTTTGCATGCGTGGATGTTTTTAAGTGTTGTTTGTATGTTTGTTGGCGGTTGTACACTGGCTTTACATACTTTCATACGTTCATACTTTTGATGTGTTGTTTTTTAATTTATGGTTGTGGGCAAATTGTTGTCTGAAAGTGGAACACGATAGTAAAACATGACACAGTAAACAGGTAGTTGCAATGCTCATTTTTTTGGTACAAATCAAATAGGATTTAAAAAAAAAATTAATTTCCGAAATAATAAAAAAAAAATTTTTATTCATTAAATTTATCAAAAATTTGAATCCTTAAGTGTTTTTGATGTAAACTGAACGAAAATGAAAAATCTTTAAAAAACAAATTTGCAAAACTTTCTCTTGTCTGCGAAATAATGGCTCCATTTAAATTATATCAAAAGTAGACTAGGCCGTATGCTGCGTAAAAATTAATATTCATCAACGGAGGCAGCAAATGAAATTCAGAATGACATTCATTCAATACTTCAAAATGTTTACACAAACATACTGTATTGTAAGTGCAATCGTTTACAAATTTGTAAAAGCAACATTATCTTCTATTTTTTAAATCTGCAAGACTCGAGTGCGAATAATGTTAAGAACTTAATCTGCTACTCTGCAAACGGATGCATAAGATTAGAACCGCAATCACCTTTAAATGCTTCATACTCAAACAATAATTACTCCTTGTTTTTCATTACTTTAAGAACAAAAAACTTGCTGTCTTTCACTGAAATATTAAAAAAGTCGAAACGTGAAAAAATGAACCGACTGAAGAAAGCACTGAATGATGATGACGACGAAGATGACGACGACGATGATGATGACGATGATGACGATAATGATGATGATGAAAATGAAATTGTGAAACTTTTTTTATTCTTTTAAAAAAACCAACTCAAAATGCAGAGATTAGTACAACATGCAAGAGATAAAAACAGCAACAAAGACAATTAAATTAATAAGAAGGTTGACATTGTGAACTAACACCATCATGTTTCCTCTCGTTAACAACATGAAGCTGAAGCTCAGGTGCAGAGGAGCGTCTAAACAAATCCTACAACTGAAAATAATTTTCACCAAACATTCACTTGAAAAAAGGGCTTTTTGCTGTCAAACTTGTAAAGGCAATCTCATCTAGTAAAATGACACTAAGTCTTGTGAATGCTAATGTACAACACTGCACATGAAAAAAATGAGTATATTTAATTTAATTATATAAAAATTATAAATATTAAATAATGAATATTAAAAACTAAAATATTAAATAATGAATATTAATTAATATAATTCAGTCAATGTAATAATAATAATATTTAAACAGTATTTCATGCTTGGGTATGCCGAAACTTTTAATTAAATGAGATTCAAAATAATGTAATAGGCTTATAATTGTATTCAATAATTTTGCTAATAATTTTTCACACTTTATTAGATTAGTTTTTAATGAACTTTCTTGTGAAAATCCTAAAAACTTTAACTTCGCGTCAATGTGTGTTTTAAAATCTGTGATTTGTTGTCTGGATATTACATTTTTTACAGACCTGTCGTAATACTGAAGATCATCTTAATCTCGCCATTCCATCATCATCACAGTCATAAACAGATGCAACCGATGCAACAACCTTATACAATCCATCGACTATTTCCGTTCTAAGAAATAACATCAATGTCTCGTCTTCATAATGTAAAATTTTATTTTGCTTCATACAAACCAGCCATCCATTCATCCATCTATTCAGCTGAGTTACTCCGATAATGAGAAAAAAATTGGACTAGCAGTCAATTCGTGTTTCTCCGCTATATCTTCTTATTTATCTTTTACGCTACGCTGTCTTTTTGTTGCTTGCATACATGTATGTATGTTTGTGTATTCCAGTTTGATTGTGTTTGCACCCATGTATAATTAAAATTGTATGATTCATCACACGTTCCTACATTTATGAATTCATCAGGTATTTAATCGTACGTTTGAAAAGCTGGAGAACAATCTTTCATGTTGTAAAAGAGATGAACTGTTTTTTGTGATCATTTTTCTGTGGTGTTTTTATTAGTTGAATTTTGTTGCAACCAAAAATATTTTTAAGAAAGTGGTTTAAAATGATAATAATTAATTTGATAGGACCGTGCAATAATTTTACGATGACGTTGCTATGACGATATCCTAGTGGGGTCATCATTTTGATGATGATGAAGACGAGGATGATGATGATGACAACGATGATGATGAGGATGATGATGATGACGATGAAAATGATATTGTTGCGGTAAGATCATGATTACGTTGTGGATCGTGAAGATGATTAACTGATTAAATGATTCTGTCCTTACGATATGATGATGTAGCAAGATTATGAAAATGATAAAATGGTGATGCACTGATAATACGATGTGACGACTTAACATTGACGTGATGCTGGGAATGATAAATAATATATGATCCCAACAACCCTGAATAACTGATCTGTTATAGTTTTTTTACTACATGATTGCTACGTCATTTCGTGATATTTTACTTTACTAAAGCTCCATGAAATAGGTTTATTACATATGCAATAAATAATGAAAAATAGGGAATAAAACAATAGAAAAACGTTTACAAATTTAAACATAAAACAAACAACTGAAAAAGTCAAATTTTATTATTATTAAAACACAAACATACATTGTAAAACATCTTAGAATCTGTTTTTGTGTGGTGTTTTGTTTGTCTAGTGAGCAGACGATCCAAAGATCAGATTTAATATTTTCTTCATATTTGTTTATATGATAAACAAATTCACACTGTATCAAGCAGTGCTTGTAATGCTGTACTCACACTCATGTTGAAACGCGATCATCATCATCACCGGCTGTTCATCATCGTCGTTATCATCTCCTTCACCATCGTCATCTTCCTTAATATGTTTGTTAGTTTTTTAATACTTTTAATGTTTTCCTCGTCATCATCATCTTCGTCTAAAACATTTTCATTATTATCTTTCTAATCTTTTACAAATTAATTGCATTTATTTTTTTTCTTTTTAAAATGTTGCTAATTTTACAATTTTTCTTTGCACTGTTTGATTGTCCGCTTGTGATAATTAATTATTTCGTTTAATCTATCTCTTCAAAAATTATCAAAATTATTTTCATAACTTATTGTGATGTGAAAACATTCCACCAATAAAAAATCACAGTCTTAGATGGGCCAAAGTAAATCACATACATCTATATGTGCATGTATACATACAGTGGCGAACCTAGACAACTTTGACGAGGAGCCAAAGTTTTGAAGTTGTTTAAATTTGGGTGGCCAAAAACAACCAAAATTTCTAAAATTAGGCAAGCGACTTTTTTTGTTTATTACGTCAATTTTTGGTCCGTTTTATACATAAAACACCGTTTATCTTTGCAAAAACAAAGCTTAACCGACATTTCCCAAAATTGGTTTGCGACAAGACAAGTGAGTATATGAGTATCAAAAATTTTAACTCTCCACTCTGTTCAGTGTTGTGTTTACTACAGGGCAACATCCAGATTTCTGTTTTTACATTTCATTTTATATTTACCTGTTCATTCTTTCGTTGTAGCTTTTAGCTTTATGGGTTTGTTTTAATAGTGTGCAAAAAAATGTGTGTGGATGAATTGATTTTGAATATTTTGGGACTGATTTAATTAAGATGTGTTTCTTTTTCAGTTTCCTTTTTGTATTGATGTACAAATAAATTATTTAAATGAAAAAAAAAGATTCAATTTTTATTGACAGAGAATGGTATTTTTTCAAATTGAAAATAAAAAAATGACAATAAAAGTTGCTAATAACTATTGAAGAAACATTAACTCGAGAGCCGTTGAAAGTTATGATATGTAAACTTCACTTTAGATTATTGCAACGAAAAATAACAGCAACAACCATAGCGAAACAACAATAAGATGAAGTATTTTTGCTTATCTGGTACGATAAAGAGTTGAAAAATGGTGCCGTAGATCAAAATTTGTTTACAAACAAAACCCTCCGATTAGAGATTGTTCAATTACAAAATTAATGGAAGAAAATAATACAAATTAAAACTAGTGTTCTATACTGGAGATTTGCATCAATTTTGTAAGTTTCAGTTGGGAAATAATTTTTTAACATCTACAAACTTGTTTGTGTAAGGATTGATCGACATGCATTCATCTGACTCAGCCGTTCAATTTAATACGCTAATAAAAAAAAGATGGGAGCTAGTGGCATAATAAACAGAAATATATGTTTTAGTAAATTTTAGCAAGTTTATTGAATGCTTTTTACATATTGCCTATGAAATTTCAATTGTGATCAGTATGATTCAAATTACTTACATAACAAAATCGTTATCATCATCGATATCATTATCATCTTCAACGTTATCATTACCATAACCATCGAATCATGTTGCACAATCTTTCATGAATTTTTATCTCGCACAGCAGAGTTCCATTCAGAAATATAACACAAAAACACACACGCGCGCGCGCTCGCATACAGACATACGCACGCACGCATGCACACACACAGACGCACACAGACGTACACTAGCACACGTACGCACACAGACACACGCGCACACACTCCACTTAGCTCACATCTCTCATGATTCATAAATAACGCTGCATCTTCTTAAAACTTTGTCTGTCTCCCTTTCTTCAGTCTTTCTCTTTCTGTTTTAGTCTGTTTTAGTCTGTTTTATCTGTTTATTTTTTGTTCAATCTCTTTCTTGTTTTCACTTTCTCTCTCTCTCTCTTTCTCTCTCTCCCTCTGGTTCTCTACGTGCGAACGCAATGTTATAAATGTCTGTACAGTCCTCAAATTTCATCCAAA